GTACATTTTACTGAGTTTTTTGCCTCATGCAACCTTTTCTCACGTATCAAACATGTTTGATCGGTGAGCTAACAGGCACGAGTAACTTTTTGCTCAGCAGATAGCTCTCGTGTGCGGCAGGCTAAAAGCCTGCCGCACACGAGAGCTATCTGCTGAGCAAAAAGTTACTCGTGCCTGTTAGCTCACCGATCAAACATGTTTGATACGTGAGAAAAGGTTGCATGAGGCAAAAAACTCAGTAAAATGTACCCGCACACGGTGAGCTATCGGCTGAGCTAACAGGCACGAGTAACTTTTTGCTCAGCAGATAGCTCTCGTGTACGTGAGAAAAGGTTGCATGAGGCAAAAAACTCAGTAAAATGTACCCGCACACGGTGAGCTATCGGCTGAGCTAACAGGCACGAGTAACTTTTTGCTGAGCAGATAGCTCTCGTGTGCGGCAGGCTTTAAAATCTAGTTTTAATTAAAATTTTTTTCCGCGGAAAATTTTCTTGAGTGGAAATGAACCTTTTTACACCAGAAGAAATTGTCCTTTACAACCAGAAGAAATTGACGTGCTTGCATCATTCTGTGTTCAGCACCAGGGAATGTATTATTTCTTTTCTTGTATTTAACGAAATCGCGAAATCACAAGTAACGTGTATATATTTCTCGTGGTAACAATCGTGCTAATTCTTGTCGCATAATTACGTTTGATAAGAGTCTAAGACTAAGGCCTGTTTTATACGTCGAATTCGGTCGCGTCGAATGCAATTCAAATAATAGATAATGAAGCTTAATGAGGTTTATCATCTCCTCTGCAGTTATCTATTAATGTCTTAAGGCTCATTTCCACTGTTGCGTTTTTCATACGTACGTATACGCACGTAAAACTTTAAATCCGTTTAAATGTTACTTATGAAATAACCAAATAAATAAAGTAACAGAATTTAGTGTTCCGCAAGTTTTAGTATCCATTTGTTAACTTGCTTGTAAAATATTTTAAAAAATAGAATGATTCAAAGTTTTACGTGCGTGTACGTGCGTACGAAAAACGCAACAGTGGAAATGAGCCTTTAGGCAGCGTTTACACTGTACCGTTTTCGTAGCGTTCTCGTATTGTTCTTAATCCTCAAGGGAACGCAAGACAATAGCCTAGTTCTCTCGAACAATACGAGAACGCTACGAAAACGGCACAGTGTAAACGCTGCCTTAATTGCATTCAACGCGACCAAATACGACGTTAGCATGCTTTACATCTTAGGCCCGTTTTATATGTCATAATACTGACGGCATAGCCATAGTACAAAACATGGACTGGACTGGACAGTTGGACTGGACTGTTTTGTACTATGCCTATACTGACTACTGTATATATGTAAATGACATAATATGACGTCCTGTTTGGGAAAAAAATTGTATTTTTGGCTTCATAGGAAAAGTAATATTTGAAGGACGAGCGCATGGGATGAAATAATTTGTTGCACTGTCACGGAATAAACCTTCGACTATACATTAAACTGAGTTCAAAATCGAAGATCACGCGTGCAAAAGATTAATTAATTGTGGATTTTTATATCGACCTCAACACTAATCAGAGTAATACTGTATCAATCTATAATATTGTAAATATTAATTTACACTATAAAGGATTATTTATGATCGTTACGCGTCATCTGTTATTTTAATTGCAGCCTATTGATAACGAATTGGATGTTTAGATCATTGAGACAAGACGCTTGTATTCTTGCATTATTTGGTCGCCCAGGTAACATGGTCCAACAAAGCTGCTTTCCTGCCTTCAATAATTGATGAGCATTTCGGAACTGCAGGTCTTCAGTTGTTCCAAAACAATACGAAACAATATCGAGAATAGCTGATTTCAAGTCACTTACCTAGGCATATAGAAGGTAAGACTATGGAGTTTTTTGTTTTATCGATATTAATATATAAATTATACTTTTCCTGACGATTTGAAAACTCTCTAGTTTTTTGTTTGTGTATCTGATTATGTTTTGCTTGGATATGCTTTACTGCATGTATATGTGCATAAAGTGTTTCACTTTCAGCCTTCATGTGTACTTCCTTGAATATCGAAACGGAGTTTGTATTTACACGGCATACCTAACACTAAGCAAATGTAACCCATGCTGCACGGTAACATGTTGTAACATGCATGAACATATAAGCCCATTTTAGTTGAATTTCTAGTTCGGCCTCTGTAAGCGTACTTCTTAGTCTTACTTAGCACACATGCAGGTGTTTTAATTACAAGCAGAACAAATTTTTCGTTGGTAGGGATGCGACTACCTGAAAATATATAAGGAGAATTTCGACGTTTCGAGCGAAGGCCCTTCGTCTGAAGTTACTAGTCAAGTCTCATGGCTATATAGACTATATCGGCCAGCGTTGGCTTTGTTGTGTTTGCAAGTATAAAATTCTACATTTAAAAACAGTTTGTATATTTTTCTCATGTACTCAGTAGAGATTGACACAAAAAGCCAAATTATGCTATTATACAATAGCATTGTAAGAAATTCTTGTCGGCAAGGGCGAAACTAGCCCCCTGCCTTGCAGCACCAGCGCTAATACAAGCAAGCTACATGTATAATTGAAGTGCCGTGATGCCATGCAATGTACATGCATACGAACTGCGGCTATTGTTTGCTAGCGCTAGCCGGTTATAAGTTACCGATAACTCTACATTCTATCATTTAAAATTGTATTCATAATTCAGCCTGGTCCCTAGTCGTTCTGCAGGGGCAACGAAAAACGAACCGATCGATAAAACTAGCTTAGGCATGACGTAACCAAGCATAGCAAGCGCGCGAGAGAGAGCCTATGGCTAGGCTGTTCATAATTCATTTATTTAATTTTATTGGAATTTTTCGCATTTGGATTGCCCTGCCAATCAGGATGATTCGTATTTGGGGGGGGAGGGGGGGGCTGTCGGGGGGAGGGGTCACCTCGTCTAAAATTGTCTACAGTGCAAAGGCGAACTATATTAAATACAATGCCCGAGGCAATGCCCGTTTTGTAACAATTGTAGTTGTCACACGAGTAAAAATTGGCAAAAACACCTATACCGGACGAGCGAATAAAGCTCGTTTCATATACGTTGTTTCCCGACTAAAGTTGTAATACGAGGCCTTTGATGGAGTCGAACAAACTGAGAAAACATTCATTTGTTTGAAATGTCTTGACTGACACATCGTGAAATCATCGTCAAGCATGCAACAAGTTGCAACAAGATTTATAGGTGGAATTAGTGGGTTTCGAGCACTTCTGCCAGACAAATTAAACAGATTCAAATAATGTTTAAATGAGATTCTTGTCATGTTGCGGTTCCATGCGCACTGACGAACCTGATAAAAGCACGTTTTGCCTGACTTTCAGTACTTTGTGTCACAGTAGCATTAAAATGTTATATTGTTACAGCAGGTCATTGGTCATGTTTCACGAACAATTGAAATAAGTTGGTAATTTCACGAAGAACATTGAGGATACGGTAACATATCACCATATAGGCAGCCCAATAGCTTGGGGGTGTTAAACTATTTTAATAAAACTGTTTCATATGGCGAAAATGTTTAGATAAGAATGCATTTCTGCGGTTTCGGTTGCGTGCTATATGACGTCACTCACTGCATACTAAATCAAACCAAAAATCGCTATACCTATAAAACTATCGAAAAAATAGTCGAAATATTTTAACAACTATGCTAAATCTACGATAATTTTACTACGTTCTTACAACTTGTTTGCAAGTAAATGTATTCCTAAAACGAAAAAAAGTTTTCCTCAATTTGTTCAATGTTTTGATGGCACTATGTCTATGCTGGATGCCTATGACCTGCTCAAAAAGCGTTTTCATATATGACGAATACATTAACTCATAATAACTCCGCATTAATAACTGCACTGAGTTACATGTACAGTATATCGCGATATTAAGGAAATTTTATGATTGTTTTATCACCAGATGACTTCAATCAGGATAAAAGCTCACGAGCATAAGTTGTCCTACCGAAACACATTGAAACTTTCAGCAACTAAAGGTCATACAGGATGGACATGCGATGCTTGCAGAAGAAATTCCAAAGAATTACAGCAAACTCATTCTTACAACTGTTCCAAGTGTGATTTTGATCTATGTAAGGAATGCACTCAACCACTCAAGACAAGCAAACATCCTCACACAATGGTCGTGACTGATGCTGATGATATTTACGAAAACGGTGATTGGGGATGTGATAACTGCGGAACAAACTCTTCAAGCCAAGGAAAGTAAGTAAAGTTTACCACATATGACAGTGTGTATTATATTTGGAATAAATTCCTATCAGAGGACCTTGTGCTGCATTTTTCGCAGTCGTTCCTGGTCAGGTCTTAAAGAGTGTATATATACTCACTTGGATTACTAACCCTAAAACCAGCATTCTAATATATACATGTTACATAACCTGTTTCGACCGGTTAGTTTCCAAATATTGTTTTATATTCCGCCTAAATAATGATCTAATTTTCCTTTTGGGCATCTTCCTCGAGTGAACGCTGACAGAGAAGTGAAGATTTCTTGTGGATGGAAATTTTCAGAGAAAACTGTAGATACATATTTAACGCAAGCTACAATCATGGACCAACTTATTGGGACAATGATGTATCAAGCAATGATGCATGGACAATGATGCATCGTTTTGCTAATGGAAAAATATTGTGTATTGTGGAACGATGTTAGGTTTCGCCCAACTCAGTTTCGTTGTCAACATTGATTGGTGGGGGAAGGGGAGGGCTGTGGGGTAGGCATGTTTTTAGTATATGGGCGTGAGCTTATTGCCAATGAAATTATTCGATTGTAGTTGCTATAGCCCTTTGACAATTGAGCGAAATCCAGTTGCTGGAAATTTTCATCCCCAACTGACACTTCAAAAGTTGGCGGAAAACCGACGCCAATAATTGCAAATCAATTTGATCAAAGCAGTCTTAAATTCTTTTCATGTTCATTGTTTTTTCCCATTAAGAAAAAATGTGTACAGTGTTTCCCTTTCTCTTCTATAGACTGCCATGGCATTGTGAAGATGGATGCGAATTTGACTTGTGCTTTGGCTGTACCAAAAGTCACAAGAGCGCAGCTCATCGCCATCTTTTGCTCAAAACCAATCCAAAAAATAGCTATCCATCCATGCCAGGCTGGAAATGTGATATATGCAGTAGAGATTTCAGACATGAAAACCAGGAGAAACCTTACGAATGCAAGAAGTGTAACTATGATTTGTGTCAGAATTGTATGAAAGGTGACGTATATATTAAAGCAATATAGCTTAAATTTAAAACTTATTTAATTCAACACTATATATTTCAGCAATTATCGGGCTATCAAGTACTATTAATATCGAACAAGATCAATGGCCCCATCGATATGCTGCATGTCTGCGCAAGAACGTTTTTTAATCAATCGCGTATTGAAACAGAATGTCTAATCGTCTTAGTATGCACACATGCATATAGGTATATCAGGCCCGCATATAAGTATAGTTTTCAAGGGTTTTTCCGCCGGGGGTCACTTTCAAATTCCAAGACTTTTCAAGGAGTTTCCAGGGGTGAAATAAAAATCCAGGGTTTTCCAGGATTTCCAGAGGGCGTACGAACCCTGACAATTCTTAGTAGCTTTAAAAATGTACCCGGTTTCGTGGCGAATGTTTGGTTAATATACGATCTAATTTCATCTGATCGTAATTCTCACTTTGACAGATACTGAAGTCCAAGAAAAAGTCGAAGTGCAACAAGTTCAAACCAAGATGGAAAAAGATCTTGCGATTACTGACGGTTAGTTGCTAATATTCCCACAATCCTTCATTTGATATTAAACGTGCATGCGAATGCATGACCCCGGAGCGGCTGCACTATAGCTTTACATGTTGACATTGACATAATGGTGCCCAGTACACAATTCACCAGTTTTTTGAGCCACTTATATAAACACATTACGTTAGGAATTTGACAGAAGTTACAGAAGTTGAAAATTAGGAAATTTGATTTTCATCATATTTAGAGGATTAAAATTCTATAGTCATCATAGACCCTTTTCATAAATGGCTGCCGATTACAAATTCTTTTATGTGCATATAAATTGGCCCAACTAGCCTCGTACTCATGATAAGATTTCAAAGGAATTTCTACCCAGAAACGAGGCTAGTTGGGCCAATTTATATGCACATAAAAGAATTTTTAATCGGCAGGGTCTATTGAATTCTTTCTTTTAAATTAAGCCGTTGCATGCATGTTTCAAGGGTCATGCTTAATCTGCACGGAGCAAATTACTGGGTATTTTATAATTTATCTACATCGGTTGATATTGCATGTGTATAACTGAGTCGTTTGCATAGCGTACTGCATGGGGTTGAAATGGGCGGGCGCCATATCGCCAATTGCGGCAAAATTGTTTCATCTGGCGGACCAGATATTTGCCAAAGGTATATAGTCTTCGTGCATGCAACTGAGAAGAAGCTTAAAATAATAAAGTAATTCTGAAGCCCTAAAATATCTCGGTGATCAAGTATTTCATTCTGCTTTTGTATATTATAACTTGCCAACAAATTAAACTGGGTTTTTTTTTGTTATCTATATACAAAGAGAATACTTCATAACATATTGATTTAGGGAGATCTGATATTAACCATGACTTGGGTGACTATATAGTTTCAAAATTTTAACCCCTGATAGCGCAGAGGAGATCATCGAGATTTCACATTAATGTTTTCCATTATGGGTTTCAATTTGACATTGCTGCAAAATATGCTCAAAAAGGAATTAATTTCAAAATTAATTAACCCCCGATTAAGATTAAATCTTTTCAAAAGGAATTAATTACAATTTTTGCAGCTGTTCCTGGTCTAATAAATAAATGTATATAAATTTCCATTCGATAATTTCCATCGACTACAATACCCTTCAATTACAAAATTACATTTTGTAATGTGGATCTCGTGCCAAGTAATATTTTTTTTGCACCCGAAATAAAAGCAAATACTGCATTATTGGAGAAAAATGTCAATCTGAATTCCGCAATTTGAAGACATGCATTGAGACAAAATTTCCATAACAGGCACGGCACGCATGCACAGATAACGATTCTGATATGGAAGATTTCAGTATAAAAGGAATTTGTAATTTTTCGCTGCTAAAGAATGCGTTCCTTTTATTTTGCAATTAATAACCTTTTAGCGTTCCTTTTCAAAAAGTAATTAATTATACAGGTCAAAATTACAACAAATGTAACGACTGGTCTGTAATGCGTTACAATTTGTGTGTCCCAGGTGCGTTTTCTTTTGACCAATACTATTTGGTCAAAACAACCGAAAAATTGGTTAAAATAGCTCAATTTTTTATTGTTTTTCCCAATAAAATATAGGTCAAATAAGTGCACCTGAATTCTGAAACAACGAATTTAAATTAGTTATTTTAACCAACCTGTTTTTACAGTCTTTCTAACTTCCACCATTAGTAGTATATCATCGACTTAATCAATGATTGTCGGTACTTTCATGCCACTTGTAGGTGCTGAACAAGTACCCATGGTGTTTATTTCTTATCAATGGGATATTCAAGATAAAGTTTTGAAATTGAAGAAGAAACTTGAAGCAAAGAGTATCACATGTTGGATGGATACTGGCAAGATGATGGGAGGCGATGACTTGAAGAAAGAAATCGATAAAGGGATAAGAGGATGTAAGGTAAGTACTTCATGCAGGCTATTATGAGTTCTATTTTTATACTATACCATTCTGGTGGTAGAGGGCCTGGAGAAAATGTCGATAAGTTACATATTATAAAGATCTAACTTATAAGGGCTGGTCAGCTTATAATATCGATGTTTCTTTTTATATGATAAATGTTTGCAGCATACAGTGTACGTCTCTCTCAAATTCACAATTCTAGGTATAAAGGTCTTTGTGAACAACTTGCCATTTGTCATAAATAACCATGCCTAAAACACGAAATATCCCTTCTATCACGTTATTTCCAGCCACTTGTTCATTAGTTCTCCAACATTATTGATCGCTCCTGCCCATTGTTAGCTCACTCGTTCTGAATAATTAGTCTCCTTATTCTTGGAACCTGCTTCATGTATTTTAATTCGAGTCCCGAGAGACGGGTCAAAAATCTGGGTTGAATTGGAGAGAGCTTTACATGAAGTACTTGCCCCTTTCTTGTTTAATTAACCAATTTTAGTAATTTCCTCGAGATGTACCTCAGTAGACATACATTAGATATATTATCATTTACAATACTATCAGATATATTAAAATAAATATCATGAATTCAGATTGTAGTATCTTGTGTGACAAAAGCATACAGCGAATCAAATGCTTGCCAACAAGAAGTTTCCTTGGCGGATGTATTGAAGAAACCAATTCTACCAGTTTTATTTGAATCGCTCACGTGGCCTCCAGAAGGTCCAATGGCGATGCCCTTCGCGCCTTTAATTTACATCAACTGTGAAAAAGGTCTTACAAGTGCAAATCTGGATACAGTAATAGAAACTATAAAGTCGAAAACAAAATGAAATGTTTCTGGTACTTAGTTTATTTAAATACAATTTTCTTAATGTCATACATAATATTGTACACATAGTTTAATTTAATGCCATATATAATATTGTACTTACTGCAATACATAATATTATGCACTTAGTTCAGTTAATTTATTTAATTTAATTAATCATATTATTGTTACTCCTTAACGTTTAACATAATAAAAATGAATTGGTAGATGTTGTTGTAAAGTGCGCGTGTTTCATACATCTTCAGTAAGGATGGAGATTTATCTCAAATTTTCTAATATGATTAATTCCTTATAAATTCCTACTTTACTTCCTTGTTCTTCGATGTTTGTAATCATGCTGTCGGAAACATATAAATTTTTTGATGTTCTATACGGCGCGCGTAAATATCACGTGAAATTTTAGCGGAAAAAGACGGAGACCATGCATATATCCACACTTGTGAGTGATTTATCCTTGCCGGGGAAGCATTCCCAACAATGCCATGATCATCAATCACAGGACTTTACCTCCATGATCATCAATCACAGGACTTTACTACTTTTTTCATCATGACGCGCGTCGTCCAGAAGAAAACTACATTTTGAAAAATTAAAACAAGATAAATCTACAAATTACAATTAAGTGTAAAAGTTGACTTTGGGTCAAAAAATGGACTACAAAAATTAGATAGTGTAAACGTTGGCTGTAACAACCGTCGACCTCCCTGTCAGTTTAAAAGGTATGGCTCTATCTCAAACCTAGGACTGGATAGTGCAACATTTTGAGTTCAGGAAATTAATTTTGAAGCCAAAATATTTATAATGAGGAGACTTTTTTAAGTTACAATGTCATGTTCCTTACGAAACAAATCGTTGCGTGTTTAAATTAGTTATGCAATCAAGAAAATATCTTCCTTCTTCTATGTACGACTACGATTAACATTTCTACAGCGCGTGTGGATATGATCAAATGCGCTTTACATCTAATATTACGCTTACCTACTGAGCCTAGACTATTTTACAACAATTGTGATATTACTTTCTTAACTGTGTTTATCCTAACCCACCCTGTCAACTTTCCCTGTGGGAGGAAACCGGAGCATCCAGAGAAAACCCACGACTTTCGGCAGACCGTTGACTGACTCTTTTCACATGAGTCCATAGCGAACTCGATGATCAGAAAGGCGGTTGCTTTAACGACTGCACTACCGAAGCCCCACAATGATAAGACATAGTTTGTATGTAGCATGATAGGATAAGATATGTAAGTGAAAGATCTAGCTTCCCACACCTCTTCTAATGAGTTTTAGATCGTTATAAATACATGATAACAAGACTTGAGGCGAGCATATTGCATGTTGATGTGACCTCATTAATGATCCACTGGCAAATTTCAGTAGGAAGAGACGCCACTAATAATCAATTTCTCTCTGGGCAATGATTCTTATTCCTGCCAATCACCAGAAATGTTTAGAACCTCTCCTAGCATGTCAGCAACACCACTGCATGACATCAGGGTTTATTTTAACGTGCAGTTCTACACAAAATGTGCAGTTCTAAACCCATATGTGCAGTTCTTAAAACACAAATGTGCAGTCACCAAACTAACAAAAGTAGCCTTAAAACAGTCTTCTCATTTATTCGTTATCCTTGTGGATGCTCCAGAAAATTCCAGAAATGCTGTCATTGAGCATCAAAAACATAAACGTTTTCTAGGGGAGGACTCCAGACCCTCCTATTTTCCTCACAAATGACTTACGTGCTGAGGTAATTGTTTTGGGGAACACCCCTAGCTCTTAAATTGCACCCAAAATCGAGTTTGTCTGGCCTTTCTCCCACTCAACCACACCATTATTCTGTCACCTATATGCAGGTAAAAAATCCTTTGGATCACCCTTCCCCCAGTCAAACATCCGTTGCTTTCGTAACATCCCTATATGTGCAGTTCTAAATTTTTCTTAAAATAAACCCTGCTGCATGTAGATTTGTGGCGGTCACATCAATATGGCCGCCATATATTGACTTCCTTTATGCGTAACTGATGCTCTATCCAGGCCTAGTTTTGAGATGAGTGGTTTAAACACTTGGCTCTTGCATTAAAACGATTTCTTGATACTGCTAAATAAATGAAGCATACCGTTTTCGCAAGCTATCGCGGTTCATTCAGGTCTTGCTCGGGAAGGCGATCGATCGAGCACGCACGTCCTGCATCAAAACATGTGTGCACGCGCTTTTTGTTAAGCGCCTTTTTCGTGATGAAAAAACTATTTTAAGAACGATTCCTTGGTTTGGTAGGTGCCGGAAAAGAAGCCGCATGTTATTGAGTAGCACTATTTGTCAAGCGTGTTTGTATGAAACTAGTTTTTTATACTACACTACATCCAGGGAAGATCCATGATGTATACAAATGTTTGATCTCCTTCGCCACATTATTTCTTGAACCACTAAATCGCAATGCGCCATAATACGCCTTAGTACGCCCTTATAGGATGTGATTTTACTCCCTCAAGATGCCAGGCAATTGCTAATGAACGATAATGAACCACGTAATGAACATACCTGTACCAAAAGTAACAAAACGGAATGGTTGTCAGGTGCCATATGGCGTGTGCATCCAGAGTTCCCCAAATTGGCGGAAAGTCCCATAGCTACAACAACAAAAATATCCTTTGGTGATGTCATCGTACAGTATGTATAAAGAAATTGCAGTAACCTTACATTGGAACCTTTCTCTCGATATTAGATAGCTTAAGATCTACGACGTCGACGTCAGCTAGGACGTCAGGGCTAAGCAGAGGACTGGGACTGGGACGTCCTCCTAAATAAATAAACCTTCACTTAAGATTCACGACCTAGACATTTAAACTATAAATATTTACATCCTTTTGAAAATGAATTTAAAAGAGACATGCGAACTATTACCGTTTGTTATGCTCTTGTATTTACGACGGTAAAACTCTTGTTGTGAGGTTGTCAACGTTTGGTGGACGACGAGCAAATAGAGAGAGACACATGCACACTTCAAAAACTATTACCAATTTACTTCCGCTTGCCGCCCTAAATATTTGACATCATAGATACTTGAGCTATCGACTTATTTAGGATGACGTCCTGGTCCCAGTCCTCTGCTTAGCCCTGACGTCCTAGTTGACGTCGTAGATCTTAAGATATCAAGCAACGTTTTTGTCAACACGGACGTCGCCAGAAAATTGGTAATATAGCTCATTTTGGCTGCACTTTGCATCATACCGCTCGTATAAGGAAGTATAAAACTGTAAAAATCGTATGTTTTGTCCTATGTGTTGAAGATTACCACAAGCTGACACAAACACAGTTTTTAATCCAGTCCCCCTCGGCAATCTGACATCCGTGTTGACAAAAACGTCGCTTGCTTAACGAAGTTCCCTATTATTCACCACTGATACAAAATGTACAATGCTAAAGAAGTTTAAACAATTACAACGAATGATATGTACCTCCAAAGCAACAAGACAAAATAGCGAGATGTTGATGAATGCACATTTCCATACATAAGGTCTATTCTTCCAGTTCTTTAAAAAAGAAATATCCGTAATCCAGGTAGCCTGTGGAATACAGGTAATTGCCTGTAAACGTGGGATAAAATCGAGGGGAAGTTTTTCATTGGAATCAGAGCGCACAGCGCGAGGTTTTCAGTTTCAAAGAAAGGTTTGCCACGATGTTTTTATGCTGTATATAAACATATACCACGCCAATTTTCTACTGCTCTCAAGAGGTTTTTGAAATTGTTGTTCTATTTGTCCTTATCTATAATTTAGTAATTGGATAAATAATGCACCCTATGTGTTGTAGTATATACAGGGCAATCATAGGACAACCAGACACAGAACTGAAATACGGTTCCCATCAATCCTAGCACTAAAGTGATTTAAGTGAATAACCAATCTTCATCAGTTTATGCATTAATAATAAACTTCACATCAAACATCAATGTTTCATACCCATTGAGTGGCAGCACTCTCCCTTTGACCAGCAAAATCGCCTAGCATTAGACAGAATAAAATGACAAAGTAGCCAGTAGGGCTCATTGTCACTTCAAGGGTTTAACAAGATGCATTGGTAGATTAAACCATTGAACGACATCACTCTCCCATTGACGAGCAAAATCGTCTGGCGTTAAACTGAGTAAACTGAGAAAGTAGGGCACATCAGGACGCAATGCCAATTAAAAATTCTCGCGACATACGTGACCAAATAATAGGCAAACATGAAGTATTTGCTGCTTATAAAATCCTGAACGAACAAAATGAAGAAAATGAAGCCCTTAGTCTCGGCTACCAACTTTGCTGGGACAATAATGTTTTCAAGTTAAAGAAAACATTCATACTGTACAAATATCTTAAACGCAGTAATATTTAATTTCAGGGCACATATTTCAGTTGTGCTGTCTGACCTTCAAAAACAGAGACAGACAGACAGACAGACAGACAGACAGACAGACAGACAGACAGACAGACAGACAGACAGACAGACAGACACAGACACAGACACAGACACAGACACAGACACAGACACAGACACAGACACAGACAGACAGACAGACAGACAGACAGACAGACAGACAGACAGACAGACAGACAGACAGACAGACAGACAGACAGACAGACAGACAGACAGACAGACCAGTCGCAGGATTGACAGATAATCACACAGACAGGAGTTGTTTACCTTTAAGCACCAAGACAGCCAACCAACAACATTAATAACACCTACAATGCATGAAAATTGCTGTTCAATACAAACATTCATGCATAGAAAGTCTGGAATTAGTAAAGCCAGCGATTGCTTTACAACAGAAGGCAGCAACGTATTTATATGTATACTTATAAATATACAGTTTTTCCGTTGATAAAAAAACCCCACATTTTTAACTTTCGACTTTCAGTCATGGCAAAACCTTTTGACGTTCAAGTTTTTTCTTGTCACGACAAAGACAATTAGGGTGATTAAAATATATTCAACTTTTCAGCGGTATATAGGAATAATAAAGTTAAAGCCCATATCAAACGAGGACGAGAATTGAGAAGCGAGAGTCTGCATGAGAGTTTTCTCAACTCCTGCATTTTCCCCGGTCAAACGCGAACAAGAGTTGTACAAGAGTTGATCAGAGTTGACTGGATATTACCGCGCAATATAGCGAGAACTCTTATCAAATTTCATTACTATTTAAAGTCAATTAGAACTTGATGAGAGTGCACGAGAATCGATGAGAGTTGGTGGTCAAACGTGAGCGAGCCTCTCGTCATTAAGGGCCTTGCTCGAAACGTAGAAGTTAAAAATCGTTTTCAGACAGACAATATCGCACTTTCTTCAAATATTACACTGTTCTTACCGACAGTAACACTTGCTTTCATGTTATAACCATAATCAAACCGAATAAAAGAAAGGTAGCCACAATGACAACAGAATAATGTTATTATAAATAACCCAAATAAACGACATCTAACAAAAAAGAATTAACAGGTGGTTAAAACTCATGCAATTTCAGTTTACAGACATCCTAGGTTTGAAAGTCAAGAGTCTTTACTGAAAATCAATAACAATCATTCCATATTTTGACAAATTGCATGGATACGTTGGCAT